CCCTCCCTCCCTCCCTCCCTCCCTCCCTCCCTCCCTCCCCAGGCTCCAGACCCACCAGCCATCCCTCTAATGGGCTGTGCCCTCCCGACTCAGCGTCTTTGGCCACGAGCAGCGTCCCCCGCCCCCCTCCTGTCCTAGCCAGTGGTACCCACGGCTCATCTCTGGAGCCCCCAGGGAAGCTCACCTGGACCCTTCACACGAGGCCTGGTGCCCCCATATTCAACCTTTGTCATGCTGCTTCCTGGGACACGCATGGGGGTGATTTAATAATCATGCCACCCTTTGTTGACGACCTCACTCCCAGACAGACCACAGGGGCCGAGAAGCAGGGGCCAGGCCTCCAGAATCTATCCTGGTGCCCGGCCTAGAGTCAGACACAATAGAGGCAGGTGGCCTGGATCAGTGGCGGTGGGCAGCCTGCCCCGTTTCTCCTTCAGGGCCTGAGCCCCACAAAGGGGTCCCAGTGATGAGTTTAGGGTGCCCAAAGCTGCCTCTGCTTGTGTACTTTCTCACCTGGAGCAGCTGCAGCTGGGACAGCCATGCCCAGCACAGGTCGTCCCCACTGCAACACTGGTGACAGTGGTCACGTTCCCTGAGCGCATCAGACGTGCTGGGCGCCCTGCGTACGTACATCCACACAGGCTTCTCCTCAGTTACCCCAGGGCTGCAACTGAGGGTGTTTTATAGAGGAGACTTGGGGACATCAGAGGCCTGACCCAGGGAAGCCACCAGGCAGGACCCACAGCCCGAGCGAGCTCTTACCCATGGCCTCCAACGGCCCCTCACCCAGCACACACACGCATACATGCATATGCACGCACACACACATATGCACACACACACGTGCACGCACATACACGTAGACACACACATACGGGTTCTTACCCATCTGGCTTCCAATAGACCCTCACCTGAAATACACACACACACACGCACACACACGGCTCTGAGCAACATGACCTAGAGTGTAAGTCTGAGGGCCCTGGGAGCACACCTTTCCCAGCTACTTTGTGCCAGGCAGGGTGGCAAGCCTGGGCCTGAGCTCTCTCCTAGGCACGGGTGGACCCTTGTGCCCCCATGGGCCCTCGTCTCTCCCAGCTCTCTGACTGCATTTTGAATTCTGGACAACAGAGCACCTGGTCTCAGAGCAGAGTTCCCAAACTTCACATCTCTTTCCTCATTTTGGTCCTGTTTACATATCTCCTGTGCTATTATTCACTTAATTTTTTTCCTTGAAATTAATCACTTTTTAAAAAAACTCAACTAAATTTAGCTTTTCCTATGGAACACCTTTGAAATAACAGGTCGGATATATTGGGTATATATATATATTTTTTTCTAATACACATTAGAATAAATATGTGGCTTTAAATTACAATCATACTTAAGCTGAAACGAGTTCTCCTAAATATTATTTTACTTCCCACAAGTGGCACCGTTCGGCACTCTAAGAAACACATTTACAGATGGCGACTTGGGGCTCGAGGGCAAGAGGGCTGCCCAGGGCACAGGGTTCTTCTGTCCAGTGCTGGTTTCAGTGCCCTCCTGGGGGCCAGATGGGCGCTTAGGGATTTTCTCACCTGGTCCCCAATTTGACAGAGCTTACTGTTTTTTTGCAATTTGCAAAAAATTCCAATTTTGTAAAATGTTTGCAATTTTACGAGAAGTGAGGCCCAAGAGCCCCCTTCCAAACCAGACTGGGACCCTGGTTTCCCGACTCCTGCCCTGGGCGGCCGCCCACTGTGCTGGCCCCTGCCCACCAGACAGGTCACCAGGAGCCCCTTCCCTGGGGGAGGAGCTGGAGGTGTCCCCTCCCCGCCTGCCCCTAGGGTTTCCCCAAACAACAAACACCACTTTTTCTTCCCACCTTACCCTTCTTCGCCCAGGCCACACTCCCAGGGCCTAACACGAGGGGGAACGGGCCAACAGCGTTTTAGTTTTTAGTTATAAAAGCTGCGTTTTTGTTTAAAAAAAGCAAGCCATCGAGAAGTACAAAATGTGAGAAACGATGGGGCTTCCCTGGTAGGGCAGTGGTTGAGAGTCCGCCTGCCAATGCAGGGGACACGGGTTCATGCCCCGGTCTGGGAAGATCCCACATGTCACAGAGTGGCTGGGCCCGTGAGCCATGGCCGCTGAGCCTGCACGTCCGGAGCCTGTGCTCCAGCAGGCTCCAGCAGTGAGAGGCCCGCGTACCGCAAAAAAAAAAAAAAAAAAAAGCGAGAAACGAAAGTCCTGTCTTCCGTGCCTCCGCCTCCCTCGCTGAGGTTACTCACCACATTACACTCTGATAAACATCCTTCTAGAGCATCCTCCCTGCACATACACACAGTAAATGTTCCCGTTTCTAGTGCTTTTAACAAAAATGGATTCCTACCCTACATCTTTTACAACTTCTTTTAATGCAACGATGATAATATGATAGGGGATCTCTAGCTTCTCTTCCTCATGTGGAAGAGCCTCAGCCTATTCTGCCCTGGAGACAGACCATAGTTTCACCCCCCTACTGATGGACACTTGGGGTGCTCGTGGCTCTTCAGTGATGGACAGGGCTGGAGTCTCTGTCCCCACACATACGTCCTTCTGCCCTGCTTCCTGCATTCACGTATTCGTTAATTCACTTGGCTCGGGAGATTTCTGTGTGTGCCTGCCATACTCCAGGCACCAGGCCAGGGGCTCAGTTTCTCTAAGACAGACTCTAAAAGTAGGACAAGAGAGTTGAAGGGCACGTGTGCTTGAAATTGTAGTGGACAAAGCCAAGCTCACCTTCCGGAAGCTGCGTAAATTGTACCCCCAGGAGCAGCACCGGAGGCTGTCTACTCCCCCCGCCCCACAGCAGGCATTACTGATCTTTTGTATTTTCACCCAGATCCGATCAGCAGAAACGAAAAGCATCTCCGTATGTCATTGCCGGTTCCCTGATCGCTGTGCTGTCAGAGCCTCCTCACATGTCTCTGGAAGCTGCCAGCTTTTGTCTTCAGCCCTCAGAAGGTGAGGGTGGGTGCGATCGCTTGGCCGGGGCCGGTCCAGGGGGAGTTCTATTGGGGCCAGGCCGTCCCCCCAAACTTCCTCCCACCCCAAAGCCTGGAAACGAGAACTTCCCTCTCCTGCCTCTGCCAGGGCCCCGCAGATGGGGGAGGCTGTCTTCCGCTTGCAGAGAGGAAGCATCGTCCTCAATTGTTCTGCACGGGCCCAGGCTGCAGGAAGAGGCCATATGGTCACAAGGGCCATTCCTCCTGACCCGGCCCCTGACCACTGGAGCAGAGCAAGCCTCCTGGGGCAAGTGGCCTCAGGTCTCAGCAGCCCTGGCCTCACCATAAAATCGGATCCTCATGGGGTCCTTGGGAGACCAGAGAGTGAACGGGGAGCTGGGGCAGCCACACAGCATCACCCCAGCTCCAGCATCCCCTGGCCAGAGGCCTCAGGCCCCCCCGCCCCTGCCCAGCCCTTTCCCACCAGCCTCATAACCCTGTGACAGCAGATGTCACCACAGGTTCTGGCTGGAGAGACCCTCAGAGGTCTCGTCGCCCGAGATTCTCATACTGTAGGCGGGTACGTGAAACCCAACCCAGGAGAAGAAAGAACAGTAATGACTCCAACACAGCAATCTCTGTGCTGACTCTCTGCCAGGCACTGTGTAATTGATGATGAATTATTACTAGTTACGGTATGGAGAGCGACCGCATATACTATCTCATTTAATCCCTCAAACAACCCTGCGATGAGGGACTGTTCTCCCCATTTCATAGAAGGAAACAGGCTCAGAAAGGTTGAGAGCCTGGCGCAAGTTCGCCACACCCGTGGACGGTGGAGCTGGAGCCACGCCTGGCTGGACAAGGGCACAGGCGGGTGGCACTGTCAACCCAGAGAGACCCCGTCTCCTGAGCTGCTCTCCTCCCCTCACCCCAAGCCTGACCTGTGGCAGAACCCTGAGCCAGAACCAACCCTGACCTTGGCCGTGGGCCAGATTCTCTGGGGGCTCCAGAAGAGGGCAAACTAGGGATAACGTGAAGCATCTCCCACACAGGGGAGAAACTGTGACTCGTCACTCGGAAGACTGCGTCAGCTGACAGGTGGCAGCTAACGATTGTGGAGGGTGGGGTGGTGGATGCAGGCGGATTCCACAGTGTTCTGGGGGGGGTGGCTTTGAAAGCTCTGTGGGTTGGACCCCAAACCATATAGAATCCTCTCAAGTTGGCACAAGACACTCGCCATCTTCTAGCTCTCGTCTGTAAGTCGGGGTATTACTGGGGTGGCATGTGGCATTGTTCCACTGCAAATATTTCCAACCCACGACGTTCAAAACGGTTCTCCTCCTGGATTAGAGATTAATTTCAAGCAGGGATAATGTTTGGGGGTATTATGGGTTTTGCTTAAGCATTTGGAATTAATATTTTTAATACAAGCCCATTTGGCAAGCAGAAGCCCTAACCTAACCTTTGCCACATTGCTGTTCCCTCCCCAGGCCATTAAAGCCCGGTGCCCATGTGGGTTTCGTTTTAAGCCTTCAAATTGTCTGGGTCTAGCCCAGTAGTTCTCAACCGGGGGTGACTTCATACCCCTCCCGGGGACATGGGGCAGTGTCTGGAGACATGTTTGGTTGTCAGAACAGGGGGAGGGAGGCTGCTGGCATTGAGCGGGTAGAGACCAGGGACACTGCCCAACATCCTGCAGTGCACAGGACAGCCTGGTCCCGGCAAAGTTAGGGGACGGTTCCGGGCAGCCTGAGGCCGCTGGTCATCCCAGCGCTCACCATCCCTCACTTTCTTTCACATCACGGGTCTTAAAAATATGAAGAAGCTTAGTTACCACAGGAGGTTTGGGGTAGGGGAGATGGGAAGGGTATTTTCATCACATCAAAATGCTTCCGTTTACATTCGAGCAGGTGCAGCTGTCCAGGCTTATTCCGGAGGGCGCCAGTTGAATACAGAGCCTCCCCATGGGCCGGAGGAACCGTGCTATTTGGTAATTCAGTTTCTTAATATAATTTTGTTGATTAATAATCAATCGAGCAGTTTCCAACTCAGCATTTCACCACGGGTGACCTACACCTGTCCTCTCCCCGAATCCTCCCAGCAGCCTAAGGGGGATTCTTACCCTGTTCACAGATGGCAAAAGCAAACCTCCAAGAGGTGACCTGCCAAGGCCCCAGAGCCAGTACTGGGCCGTAATTCTGACCCCGGGGCCTGAGCCCATTAACGACCAGTCCATCCTGCCCCTCCAGGGAGCCTCGAACTCTGCCTTTCTCCAGGGCTGGTCCTATCCCAACCAGGAGTCCAGTGGACCCAGGAGAACGAGGTATGCGGGACACAGGGGTCCCTGCGCTGAAGGCGTGTCCCGAGAAGGGGAGGGAACAAAAGGAAACACATGGAACTCAAGGAAAACAGCCTTCAACCACTTGAAAACTCAAATCGTCCATGACTTACACTATTATTAAATTCTTAAAAGTCAGGGAGTGGGCCCTCTGTGAAAGAGGAAGACCTGGGCTGGGGAGAAAATTCCACACAAAGAGTAATTTACATCTGTCCAAATTCTGTCGTTTCGGCCCCGATTCTCAACTCGTTACATATCCCATCACCCACTTCCCATCCGATAGAAGAATCAGAACAGTAATAACACTGTTAAGGACGACAGTCACTTGCAGTAACTGTTGACCGTGGGCTTGGCGGAGTGCCGGCTGCTTGACCAATGTCATCTCCCGTAATTCAATGAGCCGTGGTGCAAGGACTGTGACTGGCCCCAATTTGCAGACGAGGAAACCGAGGGTCAGAGTGGCTCAGGTCACACCCTGGAAAGTGGCAGAACCTGGACTCAAGCCCAGGTCTGCTTGACTGCAGTCTAGATGTGCACTGGGTTCCTCTAACCGGGAACCAAGGACTGGCACAGACAGAGAAAGGTCACCTCAGGTCTCCTGACGCACACCTGTCTCCAGCCATGGCGCTCGGATGGACTCAGAGCCAACAAAGGGAGCACAGGGCCTTGAAGACTCTGTAAACATCCCCCACCCACCCACCCCCGTGCACAGATGGGGAAGCTGAGGCTCCAAGCCAGGCCCACTCCCTCCCCACCACACACCACGTCCGTCTCTGCAGAACTCAGTCCCTTTAGCTTTCCCCAATGTTCTTCCTCTTGGAGCTTGCATCTTTCCAAGTTCAGAAGGACCCTCTGGCTTCCTTACCCTTTCTAGGGAAGAAAACAAGCGGAGCCTAAAAGCCCTAGGAAAACCTATGTGTCTTGCCAGTTGCCCCAGAAGCCTTGCAAAGCCTGAGGAGGTTTTGGGCTTAAGGCTTCTTAGGGAAGGTCCACAGCAAATAACTAAGAATCATGTTTCCCTTCTTGGGATGGAAAGTCAGCCCCCAGCCTGGTTTAAGAGCCACTTGGAGAATTAGACTTGGATGTAGACGTCGGGTGGACCGAGGGGACCCGATGAGTGTCCAGATATGCGCCATGTGCACCTCTGGGGCGGTCATGGTTACACCTAGCTTTAAGTTTTTCCATGATCCTCCTGTTGGCCCTTGCAACTTCAGTCATCAAGTGGAGAAGCCACAAGATTTGGTGTCCCCTCCCCACCCTCTCTAATTTCAGCTGGCCCAGAGTATTCTTTTTTTTTTTTTTTTTTTTTTTTTTGTGGTACGCGGGCCTCTCACTGTTGTGGCCTCTCCCGTTGCGGAGCACAGGCTCCGGACGCGCAGGCTCAGCAGCCATGGCTCACGGGCCCAGCCGGTCCGCGGCATGTGGGATCTTCCCGGACCGGGGCATGAACCTGTGTCCCCTGCATCGGCAGGCAGACTCTCAACGACTGCGCCACCAGGGAAGCCCAGGATATTCTTAAATCAGTGAAGAGTTCCAAGTCCTGGGGAAAGTCTACTCCATTCCTCACCTGCGGGACCGGGGAGGGATGCTGCACAGGGTAGAGACCCCGAGAGACAGGCTGTGGGCGAGTGTCCATGGCCAGCCATGGGAGTCACAGGGGTCAAGTTGGGGGGCTGCCCTTGGGGCCTGCCTGGTGCTCTCAGAAGCGTCCTCGTGCTCAGAAACAGCTATTGTCACCACCCTGTCTTAGGCGGCCCTTCAAGTTAAGTCACCTCCCCGTCTGTCTACAGCTGCTCTTGCCACATGCAGGATGACCATCTCTAGGGTCAGAGAACATGCCAGGGGCTCAGGGTGCCACACCGAGAGGTACACCCTCCTGGGGACATTCTGGGGACTGGGCTGGACAGAAGAGGTCTGTGGGCTCCTCTCAGCTCTTAGGGGCCCACTGGAGCCTTCTGGACACAGACACTGGCTGTCCACATAAAGTGGCCTTCTGCTGCGGAGAGAGAAAACACTGCACTGAAAAGCACACCGGGTTTCTAAAACCCTCTCAAACAAAACTCCGTCCGGAACAGAGCAGAGTGTTCCCCCAGGTCCTGATGTGCCTCTGAAAACACCAGGGGACGAGTTCAGGTCCAATACAGAGCCCTGCACACTAAATCTGGAGGCTGCAGAGGCCCAGCTCTCCTTCCCTGAGTACCTGCCGCGTGTGCAGGTCTGAGCCGGGCCAAGCCACAGCCTCTCTAGTGACCCGGGACAGCATGCGTGCTTTGCCAAAGAGGAACCTGGTGGAACGTCCTTCTGCTTTCTGGGCGTCTTGCAGGGAGGGTACGGGAACCGCAGGGGGCCAGGGACAGTGGAAGGGACGGTCCTAGAGCCTTGACCCCAATCTGAATCTGATTAACAGGCAAGCCCTCTAGGTCACCTGGCCAAGGAGGAATCAGAGGCCACTTCCATGTCTGCCTAACACTTCCCTCTGGCCCTGATGGGACCCCTCTCTAACCCCGCCGAGCTCACCCCCAGACCCCCAAGCTCCCCCATCCCAGGGGCCCCCCGAAGCTTGCTCCTGAGCAGTACTCACATGCCCTGCTCCCCATACTGGTTGTAGAACTCCATGTGGCTGCACGCCTGAATCCAGCCAACTATCCAGGTCTCCTTCTTGGGGATGGGCGGCATGACCACCTGGGCCGAGGCACGGAAGTGGGGTGTCCGGTAGCGGAGCACCACGCTGGAGGACTCATCGATGCTGGTGGGGACGGGATCGATAGAGGCCTTGACATCGATCACCGTGATGCCTTCCCGGAAGACTCTGGCTTTGCCCCCGATGCTCTGAATACAGCCCATGGCACACAGTACGAGTCTGATCTCCAGGGAAGGCCAGCAGTCCCAGAGAAAATCGGGCATTGAAAGGATGGAGGCTGCCGGACCCAGTGCAGACGGTACAGCTCTCCAATCTCAAATCTCAAGACTGATATCCATAGGATAGAAAATTCACTGAGTAGAGGGGGTTTGCATATCACTACCTCGGGCCTGATTATAAATAAGGATTTTGCTGCATTTCAAGGGCCCTGGGTTCTCTCTTCTTCTGCTAGCAGTGGACAAAAATCACCGATATTCTTTGGGTTAAAAAAAGAAAAGTTTGGAGGTTAATGGATAATCATGTTGTTCAGACATCCAGCCCTTCCTTCTGTGCCTCACACGCGGGGAACGCAGCTCAGAGACGCTCCCTGAAGTCTTGAGGCGAAGAAGGCAAATGCCGGCAGGCACATAAATAAGGAAGGCTCCGTCGCCTGCGCGGTGCCGCCACCCTCGCTGCAGAAGACCGACTTCCTGCCCTTCTGCCTTCCGCACGCGCTCGGGGCACACGCACCCGGCCGGTCGCCCAGCCCGGCCGAATCAATGGAAGAGCAGTTTCTGTTCAATCCGCCGAGGTCTGGGCGCCCTCGGGGGCTTCCAGGAGGCGAGCGCCCGGCTCCCGCGGGGTCCCCGAGGAGCGCGGCGCGGATCCCCGTCGGCGACCACTCGCGGGCACGCCGCGTCCCCTCGCCGCTGTCACTGTCGCCGTGCGGGGCCCCAGGGCTGCGCTCGGGCCGCCGCCTGGTTCGCCGCGACCGCCGAGGACCTGGTGGGAGGTGGAAGGGACAGGGCGTCAAGGCCCGCCTCAAAGTTGAGCCGAACTTTGCTGCGGGGGGCGCGCGGGGCGGCGACGCGTCTGCGCGGGGCGCGGGCTGCGGAGCTGACGGCGCAGCTCTGTGAGGTCTGCCCGGAGGCGGCGGCCCGCCCCCCCCCCCCCCGCGCCCAACCCGTCAGTGGCGGCCGCACGACCGCGCGCACCAGCGAATAATCGCCGCCGGTGACATCTCCGCTGACCCCTCCCGGCCCGTAGGCGGGGTGGGGCGGGGGGCGACTGGCTGGCACTGCAGTGGGCCTCGTGGAATTTCGGGTCCTGGCACTGCCCCCACCGCCTCGCCGCCGGCGCCCCTTCCCCGAACGGGTCCCTTTGGCCCCCGGGGGGCGCAGTGCCACCCCGCAGGCCGGTCTGATCGGGCGCACGCCCCTTCCCGGGCCGGGGTCCCCCGACTCCCGGAGGGCGCAATGCTCCAGCCCCGCCGCGTCCGGGGCCTCTGTGCCCCCCTCGCCAGCCCCAAGCGGCCCCCGATACCCGCGCGTCCGGCGCGCTCGCCGCCGCCGGGAACTTTGGCGCGCACACCCCCACCCGGGCGCCGCCGACTCACCTGCCCCTCGGGCCGCTCCGCGTGCCCGGGCTGCCGCCCTCCGGACGCCCTGAACCCGCCGCGGGCACGTCCTCGGGGCGCCCCCCCACTTCCCCAAGCAGTGTCCTTTAGCTCTACTGGGGTCTGGCGCCGGAGTGGGCGCCCCCGGCCCCCACGCCCTCCTAGCTCGGGGCTGCTAGGGGGTGGCCGGGGGCGGAGGGGTGAGGCTCGGGGCTCTCTCGCCCCCACCCCGCGCGCCTGCTTTATTTTATGATCATTGTGAGCGTGCTGTAGCCGCTCAGCCCCACCGCCGCGCCGCAGCCGCCTGGCGCGCCCCGCGTTGCCTCGCTCTGCTGCAGCATCGGAAAGGCAACCAGGTCAAACTTTGCAGAAACTCAGCTCCTGCGCCGGCCTGGCCCCGTGTCCGCCCGTAGCCGCCGGCCGGAGCGCAGCGCACGCAAAGACCGCCGCCCGCTCGCCGGCCCCGCGGGGATGCAGGTCCGCAGGCGGCGGCGGCGGCGGCGGCGG